CACGTGTGATGGCAGGAGCTGGGAACAAGAATGACGTCTTTAACGAGGCAAACACTCAAAGGCCAGTGGGGCCGGCTGTGAGAGGCAGGGCCTGACACACTCGCTGCATGTGCGGATCTCGGGGGGCCATGCAGGGTGACGAAGCCGGTGCTTCGGCTGACGACGCTCTGAGTGCCATGCTAGGGAGATGGAGGATGGCGCAGGCAGGGCTACCCCCCAGGCTCTGCGTGACAGAGGCTCTGCATCTGATGGTGGTGGTCACGCAGAGGACATCTGTGACATCACACACGTGTCCACACGTGGGGACAGGCCCATCTCCTGGTCTGGATGCCGCACTGTGGCATGGAGGGTTGAGCACTGTGGGTGATGAGGGGGCGTCCGTGGGACCTGCGGTACAGCCTCTGCAGTAGCTTGCGAATCTGTCGTCGTTGCAAAATAAAAATCCCAGACCGGCCATGTACTGCCTCCCAGACACTCCCAAGACAGCGGGGCACCACGTCTCGGGGAGAGGAGGGTAGAGGTGAACTGGGCACTCATCCTGAGAAACTAGTGTGACAGGATGAGAAAAAGTGGACTTCGAGTGGGGATGCTTCCTAGAGAGATGGTGGTGGTCCGCACCGGGAGCGTGTCAGGACTCTAACTGGGCCAGTTCACCTGGGCAGCTTCAGAAATACATGAAATGGAGACTTAAAGGACGGCAGAGAGAAACGCTCCAGGGGCAGACCTGAGAACCAGGCTCCGCACTCTGTGGCCCTGTGGGCCAGACCCAGCCCACAGCTTGTGCTCGTACCATCCTGCAAGCTAAGAGTGGTTTTTACGTTTTTGAAGAGCATTCAACAGAGACTATACAAGGCCAACAAAGCCTGGCATATTAACCATCTTGGCCCTTTACAGAAAAAGTTTATTGAGTCCTGCTTTAACCCATTCCTCTGCAGAGCATGGAACAAGCAGAGGGAACACTAAGGGTCAGAGGCCGGGAACACAGTGAACACAGGCCCTCCTGGCCCCACGGGCTCCCAGAGTCGCAGGACACTGCGCTCGGAGATGGCTGACGTGGACCGTGCAACCGTCCTGGAGCCCCAGCTGGTCTCTGATCGTTGAGGCCATCCTTCTGCTTTCTGACAACAGTAGGAATGATATGAAAATCAACAATAACACAAAAATTAAAACTCACAGTCACTTGAATATTAAATAGAATATTTCTAACTCATGTACAAATAGAAATCACAGTAGACATTATGAAATAATTTGGACAACAGTGAAAATAGTCATACTGAAATTAGCAGATGAAGCCAAAAGCTGTTCTTAGAAGGAAACTTATAGCATTAAAGTGAATATGTTTGAAAAGGGAGGCCCAGAGCCTGTGGTGTGAGTAGATGTCTCTGTAATTAGAAATGAACAGATCAAACCCAAAGAGGATGGTAGGAAGGAGATAGTAAAGGACCAAGAGTCAGTGACTAAGTGGCCCATGTGAGGAAGGAGAAGAGGGGCGCTGACGGGCGCCAGCGTGGGCGCCTGTGTGGCTGAGTCTGTGAAGTGTCCACTTGGTTTTGGCTTAGCTCAGGGTGAGTGGGGTCAGCTTGAGGTTCTCGCTCTCCCTCTGCCATAATCAGGATATTGGGAACAACACTATACCAGTAAATTTGGGAAGTTGGTAAAATGAACAAACTCCTTGAAAAACCCACCATAGGGGCGCCTGGGTGGCTCAGTGGGTTAAGCCTCTGCCTTTGGCTCAGGTCATGATCTCAGGGTCCTGGGATCCAGTCCCTCTCTCTGCTCAGCGGGGAGCCTGCTTCCTCCTCTCTCTCTGCCTCCCACTCTGCCTACTTGTGCTTTCTCTCTCTCTCTCTCCGACAAATAAATAAAATCTTTAAAAAAAAAAAAAAAAAACAACCCAATGTAGTTAAGACTGGAGTGCGATGATAGAGAGTCTGAATGGTTCTGAATCTCCTGAGGACTGTGAAGGAAACTGCAGATCCCACCGGCTCCTGGCCAGCATCCCCGAACCTCAGGAGGAGGCGCCACGAGGGTTGTTCGTCTACCTTGTCTTAACAGGCCCAGCAAAACCAGGGGACCAAAGACAGGAGAACACATGAAAATTAGCGGCCATTCTGTTTCATGAAAATAAATTCAAAGCTTCCAGAAAAAATTAGCAGACAGTCTGGCTATACATAAACTTGATACAGAGTTAACGTTTGAAAACCAGTGTGATTCACTATAACGCAATAAATAAGAAAAGGCATGTGTTTTTGTTAGAGGATGCAGGAAAACTATCGTTCAATTCGGTACTTGTTCATGGCAAAATCTCTCAGTAAGTCAGACTAGAAGGCAGCTTCCTTGATGTAGCAAAGATTACATCTACAGTAGAAACCAGACTTAATGGTGAAATACTGAAAGGTTTTTTTTTTCCTGTCTAGTGGGAGTGAGTCGGGGGTACATTCTTTTTTTTTTTTTTTTTTTAAGATTTATTTGTTTGACAGAGATCACAGGTAGGCAGAGAGGCAGAGTGAGAGAGAGGAGGAAGCAGGCTCCCCGCTGAGCAGAGAGCCCGATGCGGGGCTCGACCCCAGGACCCTGAGATCATGACCTGAGCCGAAGGCAGAGGCTTAACCCACTGAGCCACCCAGGCGCCCAAGGTGTAGAGTTTAAAAGAAATAAAACTTAACCATCTTTGACAGATGGCATGATTGTATAAATGGAAAATCACTTCTACAAGTTTAACAGGTGCTAGATACAGAGTTGGCATATACAAGCCACGTGAATGCTGTGAAACAAGGCAAGTAAAAATAACTCCCCAGGTTTTTTACATTTACACTAATATCAAAGAAAGAACATGAAGTAGCAAAAAGCAAAAGCTGTGCAGAATGTCTACGTTGACAGGCACAACATTTCTGAGAGAACCTACCGTGAGACTCCCCATATAAAGGCATCTGTGACCCCCAGAGTCACGCACAGATCCCAGGAGTTCCCCGTGGGTGGCAGCGTGCGCTGGGACAGTGAGGACAGCCCCTTGCTCCCTGTGTGGTAGCCTCCCGAGTGGTGTCCCCAGAAGCAGGTGGACGCAGCAGTGCACACTGCCTGACTCTTAAATTCACGGCGTGCAACACCAGCCGCAGTTTGAGCCTTTGGCCAGTGCTCACTGCTCCGGGGCAGGGAGGGCGCCGGGGAGGCCAGCGCAGCTTTCTGGGCACGGCGGCGCGTGCTTTGTGGCCTAAGTGTAGGCTGCACTGTTGGTGGAAATGTGGTACTTTGTGGTACACGTGGGTCCGTGCTCTGGAGGGGGTATACCTTGTTTATTATAAAACAGACACAGGTGTAGAAGAGGTGAGCACAAAGCATGAAAAAGAATTGTTTCTGTTACAGAAAAATCTACCAAGTTAGAGAAGTGCCCCCAGCACATGGAGAAAATACGCAACGTCTCTGTCTGGGCACCTTTCCCGCCGGCTGCTCTGACTGCATGGTCACCGTGGTCTGAGCACTGGGGTGAGAGCCCGTGGTGATGGGGCCAGGGTGGGGAAGCTCAGGGCAGCTTGAAGTTTGCAAGAGGAGTAGCAAAGATGGGACGTCCTAGACTCCCATTATCCCTTGGCGCGTTGTCCAGACTGGAGGGCTGAGCCACATGTGGCCCTGAGCCCCTGAAATGTGGCTAGGGCATCTGAGGAACTGAGTATTTGATTTTGGTTCATTTTAAATCGGATACACATGATACACATGGCTCCTGACTCCTGGCTAGGGCTGTGCGGTTCTAGACAAACAGTGACAGCACGTGCATGGGCGGGGAAGTGTGAGAGCTCGACGCACAGTGAGATGGTGGACAGTGCTGCAGGGCAGTGGCAGGGGGAGCAGCAGCAGACACGGCCTCACCCGGAGGCACCTGCAGAGCAGAGGGAGTGAAGACACCCACTTCTAACTACCCGGTGTCCCCTCAGCCCCACAGACCTGTTCGTGGTTGCTCTTTCTGGGAGAATGTAAAAGCTGTGCTGTACAGCAGACACTTTCATTAGACCTTAGATTGAGGCGCCTGGGGGCTCTGTCAGTGAGGTGTCTGCCTTTGGCTCAGGTCATGATCCCGGGGTCCTGGGATCGAGCCCCACGTCTGGCTCCCTGCTCAGTGGGGAGGCTGCTTCCCCCTCTCCCTCTCCCTCTGCCACTCTCCCTCCTTGTGCTTGCTTGCTCTCAGATAGTTAAAATCTTAAAAAAAAAAAAAAAAAAAAGTCACACATACCCTTTAGTTAACTCTGGGGTAATTGTAGCTCATGATAACTTTTTTAAAATGATCAGTTTTATTTTAATAAGCAAAGTGAATCCTTACTTGTAAAGGGGATGAAACGTCTGTGACTTCTTTCACAGTTTATTTTGGTTTTGTAAACTGTACTGGACATGCGGCGACACTTAGAATAGCCACTGTGTAATTTGAGCAGACAGCGAGGGACTTGGTGGGCACGAGCGAGGTTACCCGTTCGCGTGGGTGCGTCGGCATGGGCCCCGCATCCCAGAAGCGGACGTGGCTCCATCTGTGCGCGGAGAGAATGTGTGACGTCACAACAAGAAGAAATACTTTATATTCGTGTGACTTAATTTGTAAAAAGTTATCCAGTCATCAGCACTGTGAAATAATTAACACTTTTATTAGGACAGCTGAGTGCTTCTTAAGCATACGATGGCCTCGCCGGTATCTCAGACCAGCCTTTCTCAGCCTCCTTCCTTGGCCGTGCGCCCGCAGCCGCTGATATTGCAGTGTTTCCTGGTGGACCGTGGCTCTGACCTGCGGAGGGGCAGTTCTGAGTTGCACACACAGGCCCGGGCGAGCATCTGGGGCGTGCACAGTAGGTGTGTGCGAGGGTGCACACTTGTGCTGCGGCTCCCCTCCCGCAGCCCCGGGGCTCCCTGAGGGCCTAGGGGCACAGCGCTGTGGCTGCCGTGCAGCACCGAGGGACGGGGTGTCTCCTTCCCCGCACGTGTGTGACTCCTCCTCTCCGTTCTCTGTCTGCACCCCACAGCTTGACTACATCGACCCCCGAGCCGTGCAGCTTGGCTCCCTCCTGGTCCGTGGCCTCACCACTCTGGTCTTGGTCAACAGTGCGTGCGGCTTCCCCTGGAGGACGAGTGACTTCATGCCCTGGAACGTGTTTGACGGGAAGCTGTTCCATCAGAAGTACCTGCAGGCGGAGAAGGGGCACAGCGTGGAGGCGCTTGTGGAGCAGAACGTGAGTCCACGGTTTCTTCGTGTTCAGAGACAGTGGGTTTGAGGCCAGGCGCTCAGAGGAGCCCTAGAGCTCTGAGTCCTGGGCCAGACATGGGTTCTGTGCGTCCTGAGGCCGCTCTGCTGGGACGAGCAGACGTCCTTTCCAGAGACCTCCCCGTGGAGGAGGCACGTGTTCCCAGGCTTGGAAATTCTTCAGTTTACACCGACCGTGGGTTACGTGGCTGCAGTTACCGTGCTTTCGATAGATGCTTGTTCCAGAAAGGCAGGAACACGGGTGGAGAGGCTTAAGCCTTCGGCGTCATCAGATCTCATAGCTTCTCCCAAAATACTGCCAGAGGGCTCGAGTAGCCAAAGTCCCGCTGAAGGAAGGCAGGGAGCACCCCACCCCGTCCAGCGTGGCCCCCCTCTTCACGGCCTTTCTCTCCCTGGCCTTCTTGAATCAAGGACTGTTTCCCCAGAGGTGCCTTTGCAGACCTCAGACTAATTCAGTAGGAATAATTGTATTCACTTGAAAACATCCCCCGGGGGCTGCTGGCTCCATTGGGAATGTGGGCTCCGTGATGGCCGGCTGTGTGTGTGCGAGTGCTCCGTGATTCCTGGGAGGCCTCTGAGGAGGGCCCCCGCCAGGCTCCCAGGGAGCGTGTTACAGGGGCCGCAGGCAGGTGTGGGAGCCTGTGGCCGCCGAGCGGTCACCGTCCCCATGAGGTCAGCGTGTGTTGTGCTTCACATTGGATAGAAGGCATCTGGGGAGATGCTGCCGTCCCTGTGCCTCTCCCAGACTAATAATCAGGGTGTCCTTTGGGATTTGGAAGCCACTAGCCTTGTGTGCAGGCACCGGCGGGGTCGTGAGGGAGGGTGTGCTCGTCGCCGTATGCGGAAGCGGGGACGGGTCAGAGCAGACAGCAGCCACCGCCTGCAGAGCCCCAGCTGTGGTCCCGTGTCTGATGTGCTGGCCACACACGGGGTGACCACAGGTTCGGGCAGGTGGGGCCCCGTGTCAGCAGTAAAGGAGGCGGTGGATTACCTCCCTGGGGACTCGAGAGTGTCTGTTTTCTGAGAACCTCTTGTCAAGTTTCAGTGTCGAAGGAAGTGCTCCCCAGTGTCCTTGGACACCACGGCCACCGTTGTGTCTCCTGAGTGTGTGCTTCGGCCTGACCCGGCTCCCGCCGTCTGCTCTGTTTGCAGAGGTCCCGGCTGACCAAGTTCCACGCTCTGAAGTCGGTCGTGTGCAAGGCGTGCGTGAAGGAGAGCAGACGCATCGTCAGCCGGCAGCACCGGGCGCTCCCAGCAGCCAGGTGGGCGGGGCGGGCCTCAGCCGCGGTGGGCGGGGCGCTCCCAGCAGCCAGGTGGGCGGGGCGGGCCTCAGCCGCGGTGGGGGGCGCTCCCAGCAGCCAGGTGGGCGGGGCGGGCCTCAGCCGCGGTGGGCGGGGCGCTCCCAGCAGCCAGGTGGGCGGGGCGGGCCTCAGCCGCGGTGGGCGGGGCGCTCCCAGCAGCCAGGTGGGCGGGGCGGGCCTCAGAGGCGCCGGGCGGGCCCAGGGTGCGGGGTGCGGGCAGCCGGCCCACGAGACTGGGAGAAACACGCCCTCGCCGCACTAGGCGCTCCCCAGCAGTTTCCCTTCTGGTCCCTTCAGGAAAGGTGTCCCCCAGAGGACGCACCTGCTCTCCCCATGACTCCCAGCTCCCCTGTGGCCTGCACCGCCCCCAGAGCTCCCCGCAGCCAGAGCGGCTGCTGAGGTGCTGGTTTATGTGACCAGAGTTCTCGTTCTCGGAGTAGACCTTGGCATGTAAAGAGCGCAAGCGGAACGGGACGGAAGCAACCTCGATTCCGTCAGGAGAACGAACGTGGACCGATAACGCGTTTCTGCCGTCGTTTCTGGGCTCGTTGTGGTGACCTGCACGGTTGTGTGTCCTGCCTGTCCAGACCCCCCAGTCTGAAAGTGGCTTCCAGTTTCTCCCGTTTCCCGTGCGCTGTTTCCTAAAACAGAGCACCACAGTTTGCGAATTAGGTGTCACCACGTAGTCAGAGTTCGATAAGTGTTGCCGACGTGTTTTCTACAAACCCTCCTCTGCGGCATCACTCGTGACGAGGAGCTTCTGTTTCCCTTGGCCCCGTTTTCCAGTGTGTTGTTGTAGCCGTGTGACAAGCGAACAGTGTGTCTCACTGACCGGATGAGTCTTTATCAGTGAAGGTGACTGTCGTGGGGGTCCCCTTGTTGATGAGTCTGATTATTTCCCGTCCCCCTTCGGTTCGGATCCGTGCCTGTCAGCCCAGCAGCTCTGTCTCTGTGCTCGCTGGAGCTCGAGAACTGCCCCCAGGTCCTGCCCCGCAGACTGTCTTCTGGGGCTCTGCTGGGCATTGGGTGGGCAGGTCTCGTTCTGAGGGGCTTTATGTCTGGTGCCGTGTGCGGGGCCTGCCTGAAGGAAGGAGAGGGGCTTCCTCCCTGTTCCCAGGAGTCACAGGCTCCCGTCTTGTCTTACCCTTTCGTGCACCCTGTAGCTGTCCCCTGCTGGCTGAGGAGAGGCCAGATTTGAGACCCCAAGCAGGAGCTGATTCCTTCCAGAACAGATGTGCAGCGTTCTGCCTTTGTTGCCTTGTCCCCAGGCTGGCCGGCTGCCCGTCCTGCGTGCTCAGTGTCTTGGGCTCCCGGGCAGGAGCCACAGGTAGCACGATGCAGGCCGCGGTCAGCTGGCGGGAGACACTTAGACTTTCTCATGGTACATTCTAGTCGAGGCAAGTGGTAGGGGGTGTCAGAGCTTAGGAGTTTCGAAGAGGGAACTTGAGGGTGGTTAAGTGTGTGGAGAATCGGGCAGGGTGCACCTCAGTCCAGCTCTCGTGGTCCCGGGACCCCTGCTCACCCAGAGCCCGAGCACTGGTGGCCTGCAGAGTCGGGCCCGTGCCTCCTGGAGGCAGGGTCAGTCAGAACCGACGACCCGAGGACCTGCTCTGGCCCAGCGTCTGCCAGGCTGCTTGTCTCACCTGCACGGGGTCTCCTGGGGAATGTGTTTATGTTCAGACACCCACCACCCTCCACCCCCAATCCCAGCTATGGCCCCTCAGTCTGCGTTTTTCACGGCTTTCCCTGTGACTAAGGAAACCGGAAGTTTGGGGAGTGCCGACCTGGTGCCACCTTGCTTCCTTCTTAGACGTGACGTGTCATTGGGGTTAGGTGTGTGGTGGCCTCCTAACATGTGCTGATCTCATGTCCCCACAGGCAGGTGGGGGAGGCAGGGATCCGGCTCCCACAGGACGAGCTCTGGGTACAGCCGAGCAGGCCACGGACAGCACTGGAGGGACCAGGGAGCAGGTAAGAGGCCGGTGGCCAGCGGCTGCTCATGAGGGTGTTGCGCCTGGGCTGGAGGACCGCCGGCGGGTGAGCGCTGCACGCTCTGATCGCGGACTGAAGTGCAGGCTCAGGCTCCAGGCCGGTCTGTCCCTGCTCTTTGCCACTCATTTTTCCATTCCGGACCCTGTTCTTGACAGTCTACTCAGAGAGAGGCTCTCATGAAGCTATGATGCACACATGTTCCTCTAACGAAGAAAGAGCACGTGACATGTTCTGTGGCTTGGCTTATATACGTGGGACCCTTTAGGGGATCCAGGAAATAAAATGAATCCTTCACTTCTTGGGTGTGTAGTACAGATGTCTGCAGAAGCTGAGTTTAATACATGACGATTCACATCTTACATACAGAGAAAACCTCACGAGTATTTAAATTCAAAATTCCTTACGGGTTTCAAAGCCCGACTACAGAGAGTTCTGTGTCACGTCAGGTTTGTGATGTCCTTACAAATGCAAACAGACCTTTCATTTGATTTCGTTTTCTGCAGGTTCTGAAACGTGTGGAGATCTCAGATTATCCACGTTATTATCTAAAGCACACGAGTCCTTGTCATGACACAGAGCAGTGTGTCTCGGTCGGCCTCTGTCGGTGCTCACTGCACCGCGTCACCTGGGGCATTGCTGAGGGGAACCCAGGCCTCTCCCGGTCGGTTGCCTCTTGTTCTGGCCTAAATCTGGGGGTCGGCTCTCTGGCTCAGTGCCGACTGACTGCCCATCCCTGGGGGACAGAGAAAAGCTCTGTAAGATTGACCATTGCTGTAGGTGTCCCTTTCACGTGATGTCCTCTGCAGGGTCCCCCAGCCAGTGCTGCCACCCACTGCCACCTGAAGCTACTAGATGGCCAACCCAGGGGGGTCTCCCCTGCCACCTCCAGGCCCAGCGCAGGCACATGGCGACTCCACCCGGACCTTGGGGTGTTGTTGCCGACACAGCGTGTGGGATGAGGGCACGCCCCCTCCCTTACCCCGAGCATTCTTGAGATTGCTTCTAATGTTGAAGCAACTGGTGATGATTGAACAAAACTGAAAACAGGGCACCCAGGGGACACAGAGGGTCTGTCAGCCAACCTGGGGTCAGACCGTGTCAGCCACCACCTCGGGCTTGCATCTGTGTGGCGAGCAGGCGTCTGTGAGGGCGGCGCTCAGGGTGCTTTCACGCTGCGTCCACTGGGCGGGCTGCTGGCCGCGGGTAGAGCTGCGCCGCCTGAGGACCCAGGGGTCCTGTGTGGGAAGGGCTCCCCTTCCTGGGTTCTCGGAGGCCCCAGGCAAGTGTGCCTGTGTGGCCCTGCGGCGCCGGCTGTCCGCCTCTGCTGAGGGCTGGTGGACAGAGTGCAGAATGCCAGCTCCTAACCCCTTATGATGCCAGGCCTTCCTCCAGCGACCGGGAGGACCCGGACACGTGTGCACGCAGTGACCGTCTCCCCGCGGTCTTCATGGAGGGGTCTGACGAGGTCCTCCTGAGGGTGGTACATCCTCAGAGTCCCGGTGAGCGAGAACAGATGCTCTGGGGGGTTGTGCATGGGAGGCAGGGCCCCAGGGAGCCGCGTGGGGCTGGAAGAGCAGTGGGAGGGAGGCTCATGGGCGGTGAGGTTGGCGGACAGCAGAGGAGCGGCGCGTCCAGGGCCTCACAGCCTTGGTCAGAGCCCCAGAGGTCACTCCAGATGAGTTGCTGCATGTGTCCACTCTGGGCATGTTTCCTGTGGCCGTCGGCCTGCCCTGCGGAGCTCAGAGCCTGCACACCTTCACTACAAAGCTCCTGTTCGCTAATGCTCACAGGGTCAGAATTAGGCTCCAGTACCGTTTGAAGTTCAGGCGTGCGCTGGGCCGGGAACAGGGTGGGAGTCCGGCCCTATGTGGCCAGATAGCCCGCGTGTAAGTAGCAGGAGCCTGGGTCCCTGTCACCCTTGCAGCTGTGGTGTCAGACTCCTGTGACCCTGGCCCTCCAGTGATGGTTAGAGCACACCTGCCCGGCTCGGGTCAGCAGGGTGAGGGCAGGTGTGCTGGACGTGTTTCAGGCAGCTTGGCATGACAGGGCGTGCACAGTCCTCCCTGCGCTCCCTCTGAGCAGATGACCGAGGCCTCCACAGTGGCACCTCTCCATGCTGTCACTGGTGTGGTGGGAAAGGGTGACATTCCTCTTAATCCCCTGGCCTGGGCTTGTCTCCTTTCCTTCCTGCTGGGTCTCCGGAAGTCAGGAAAGTTTAGGCCATACAAAGTCATGGTGAGAAGGGCTGCTGGTGAGGCCTGGGAACAGGTGGGAGAGACGGTGAGTCTCCAGGCAGATGAGCACATCAGCTGTGGCCCGTGGCCCTGCACGTGCACGCTTCCCCTGAGACGCTCCCTGGGCTGTGCTGCCTAGGCAGGCTTTGGTGTTCTACCGGCTGGGTCCCGGGGTTCCAGGCAAGCCGGGTGCAGTCGCCCTACTGAGTCCTTGGATTTGAGTCTCTCATAGCTGTTGGAGGGTGTCTTCCTTTCTCTCCTCGTCCCCAGAGGAAGCCTGCTGCAGTGGGTTCTCACAGGCAGGACCCGCTGTTCACCAGTGACCTGACCTGAGCACAGGTCAGAGCCTGCAGTCGTTCCCCCATGCACACGAGTGACCCCCGGATTTCAGGGGGCGTTTGCAATGCTTAAGGATGTTTGTCAGACGGGGCCCGAGGCCTGGAGAAGCCCGTCTTCCCTCTTCTGTTGTGGTTACGTAGAAGCAAGGAGATTGTAACAGGCACAGCAGCAAGAGGCTGAAGCTGCCCCAGGTGCCCAGGTTTGCAGGAATCTCCTCCTCAGGGCCAGGACCGCAGCGGCCGCACAGAAGACCGGGGATGCTGGTACAGGAGGGCTCGGGGCTGAAACACGTGCCCTGTGAGACCACAGGTCAGAGGCAGAATTGCATGGGGTGGGTGCTGAGCTAGGATCAGATTTCAGAATTTGGGGATGGAATGCTAGCTTCGGGAGCAGTCCCTGGTGTCATTGGAGCACATGTGGTGACAGGTGGCCGTTACATCGTGGCGGGCACAGCAGAGCACACGGACGTGCTGAAGCCCGTGCGGACCACCTGAACTGATGTGACATGGTGTCAGCCGCCCGAGAGCTGGAGCGTGGGGCTGTCTCCCAAGCCTCCCTCCAGGCGGTGGTTCAGCAAAGACAGATGTCTCGCGTGGAGAAACGTTCACAGAAATGTTCCTGGTGGTACCAGTGTGTTGTCTGATCTCAGATACTCCTGTGTGAGATACGAGGCACACACACATACAAAGTCTTTTATTAGAGCTGGAACGTTATTTAAGGTCAGGGAATCCACTTTTTCAGTTTTGTCACCGTGATAGAATTAATTACATCATCGTTGCTGGGCCCACACACTGTTTGCTCACTTATGTCTACCTTTGAACTCCGGTTTTAGTATTTTTTAGAGATATTGAACTAGTCCGAGTAGAAAGTTGTCAGTACTTCTGGACACAGTTAACAGACAAAATTCTTTATGTAAAATTAAAAATGCCTCTGAATGAGTGCACTGAGTTACCAGGAGACAGTCCAGGGAGGAGGAGGGGGAGAGGAGCGGCACCAGCAGCAGCAGTGGCTGCCTCTGTGAGCCCACACGGGCCAGGCGGGGAAGCCGGGGCCTTTTAGGGAGGGGCACCAGCCTCCCTGTGAAACGTTTGCTTCCTGGCCTGGGAACTGGGGAGGAGTCACAGGACCGGCAGAGATGAGACCCTCCCTGTGGTGGGGAACTTCAAAGCAGCGACACTGAGAACACCCTAACTTCTTCCTTGCTGTTGGTGAGAAATGATGTGTTAAATTCCACAGTCAGTAGCAAATCGCATTTGCCTGTGATTTCTTCAGATTTTCACTTGTCGGTGGTAATTCTGGAGGAGTGCAGGGCTTTTGTAAAACCATCTCTGATCATCTGTGATAACAAGGAGGGGCCTGGAAGCCTCCTTCTGGCCTCGCTGTGACCTGCTCCCGTCATCCAGCCCTTGACCAGAGCCCCTGCCAGGCTCTCATTTGTGGGAGCGGCTGAGCTACATAGGCTGCCCTCGGCGGGAGAGGCGCAGGCATCCTCAGGCAGCAGAGGCATGGGAGGCTGTGTCAGGAAAATGTCGTTTTCTGAGTGTGCGAACGACCTCCGTTTTTCCCGGCGGGGTGGCTGTCTTCTGGTTCCCCTGACACTCCCTGTGTTGTGGAAGGTGAGGAGTGACCAGCTGCACGGGCATGGGGGGCTCTGCACTCAGCTGGGGAAAGAGCCGCACACCGCTCGCTCCGTCCTTGGCCACGTGTCCTCCATGAGCCATTTGCACATGCAGCTCCTTCCCCAGTATCACTGGCCGCGGAGGCTGTCTGGCTACCGTGCCAGTGGTTGGAACTGGCATTCAGAGGAGCACTGAGGACATGCTTCCTTCTGCCAGCACAGCCACCTCTTAATTAATTGCTTCCTACTCTAATGGAATATTGTGCAACAAACTTTAATGATAGTGGCTGCAACAGAAAAGAGAATAAAAATGCTGTTCTCCAAATACAGCTCAGCATGTTGTTTTGATACCTACTTGGAAATGTCCTATTTTTTTCTGTTTGGATTTTAGAGAAATGTAATTAACTTAGTTTTGGTTTTCATATCTGTTTGGTACAGGAAATAGACAATATGAACCTGACCATTGGAGGAGATACTCATCCTCTTCTGGGTAAGTGCACCACTTCCATCCCCAGAATAAATCCATTTTATCAAGGATGAAAGTAAAGCATCTGTCTTTGGAACATGTATCTTTCATATCAGTTGCTAACTTTAAAAAAATTCAGATGCTGAATCCTGACATGGGGCTAAGTTAACGTGGTTTGCAAATAAGTTTGCTTCCTCTCAAAAAAGTGTGGAGAGAAGGGGATGGGAGGGCCAGCCTTAAAGCCCTGGGATGCCCTTCTTGAGAGCAAAGCTTTTCAGTGACTTCTCTCGCAGCATATGAAGAAGAGCTCCGTTGGCTGTTTTCAGAGGCTGTGCCTGACTCTGTGGCCCAGGCAGCTCCTAACATCCTCACTCTCATTTCTTTATCTGTGTCTCGAAGGTGTGGTTGCTTTTTTTTTTTTTTTAAGTGAGTTGGAATCTTACTATGTCCTGCTTTTTTTAATTTAATGCTAGATTGTAAATACTGTAAGGATTGGAGACGTGATGCGCTACGGCTGTATAATATTCCAAGTGTGGTTTCTAGCTATAAATATAGGGAAAGAGGTAACAGCCTTCTTCTCGCCTTCCTGGCGGGACAGCCAGCTCTGCATGGAGGGCCTAGCCCTGCCTGGGAATCATAATGGTGTGTGGCCCACGGGTCTGTTCCTGCCAAATCCTCCTTTCCATTTTACTCTGGCCCAGGCTCCAGCTCAGAGTTCCTGACAACAGTGCGTGAGAGGCAGGCCTGGGTCCCAGTCGACAGACACCTGGCATTAGACAGGAGGCCTGTAGGGGTGTGTGGGGAGGAGGCACTCATTCATTGTCAGGAAGCTTAATTTATAATGCTGCTAATGAGAGGTTCATTTCTTGCTCTATCTAAGCATTGAACAGCTCTCGGTTTTAAAAAATGTTCTAGATTTTCCAAGTTTCATGGAAGAATTCTCAAATAACTTAAGAATTGTCATTTCAAGGCCAAAGTTTTACTGAGCTCAACCTCTGGGGTATTGACAATGGAAGGAAATCTAGATTTAGGGGATAGAAGACCTGTGTCAGTGGCCTGTCCGGCCCCACACGCTGTGGCTCTGGAGGTTTCCAGCACTTGCAGATAATGCTCACATGTGTTCCCCTGAAGACACTCACAGTTGTCGCTCTCTGTAGAAACAGAGTAACCCCTGAGCATACTCACAGCCCAGTTCACGTGTTGTACTTCATGCATTACCCCAGCAGCTCAAATATGCAGAGCTCCTGGCTTTGTCTGGCCTTAGAATCCCATCTAGTGTTTACCAGAATGGGGTACAGTCTCCAGGTGTTTTAATACATGTAGGTTTTATGTTTGAAACACCCTCACTGCTTCCTGCAAAGGCCTTCTGAAATACACTGTGTACCTGGTTACTTTCCATGCAAGTCTTGTAAGACCTACAACCTGATGGCCCAGTTTTACTCATTTATTTTTTTAAGATTTTATTTATTTATTTGACAGAGACAGGGAGAGAGGGAACACAAGCAGGGGGAGTGGGAGAGGGAGAAGCACGCTTCCCGCTGGGCAGGGAGCCCGATATGGGGCTCGATCCCAGGATCCCGGATCATGACCTGAGCTGAAGGCAGACACCCAATGACTGAGCCACCCAGGCGCCCCAGTTCCCCAGCTTTAGAAATAGATTTGTTTCATTCCACTTCAGTGTTTCCTGTCTGTCAACATTCTGTTCCTTTCATCTGTGCTCGTTTGAGACCACTGTTGCTTCTAGAAGTTTCATTTCTTTGCTGCTTATTTTTATAACTTTGAAATGAATTTCTCATCCCTTAGATGAAAAGAGTAGACCGCCGTGAAAATTGTTCTCCCCCTTTATAATATCTGCACTGCAGCTTGTCAGTAAAATGTTCGTTGTCATTAGCAAGTTTGATTAAGTCCTTAAGTTCGTTCAGTCTCTTCTGTTTGAGGAGCCAGTGCTTATGGTAAGTTTCCGTGATCTCGGTGTGTAAGTTGGTCACCTCTGCAGCCTAGTCTGGCTGGGACGAAATGTCCACGTATTAATTTGAAAATGAAAATAAAACAATATGTCACTCATAATTAAATATTTCGCATTTCTTTGATTATTTGGAAGACACTTCATGATCTAATATATTGGGATCTTTGGGAAGAAGGAGGATGTTGAATTTTGTCAGATGCTGTTTCTGCATTGACTGAGATGGTCGTAGGATTCTTTATCCTTCGTTCTGTTAATTTGTCATGTTGATTGATCTGCATGTGTTGAACCCTCCTTGCTTCCAAGGGATAAATACCACTGATCATGGTGTATGACATGTTAACGTTCTGTTGAATTTGGTTTGCTAATATTTTGTCAAGGATTTTTGTTGGCCTATCGTTTTCATATAGTGTCCTTGTCTGGTTTTGATACCAGGGATTGCTGGCCTCATAAAATGAGTTTGGAAGTGATCCTTCATTTTTTTTGAAGAGTTGGGAAGGATTGGCATTAATTCTTTAAATGTTTGGTAGGATTCATCAGCGATGCCATCTAGTCCTGGACTTTTCATTTGTTGGGAACTTTTTAATTACCGATTCAATCTCCTTTCTCATTTGTTGGTCTGTTCAGATGATCTGCCTCATCATGAATCAGTCTTGGTAGGTTGTATGTCTCTCGGAATTTATCCATTTCTTCTACTTCATCCAGTTTTGGGTGTGTAAGTGTCTGTAGTATCAGTTTTAATTTATTCTCTTTGTTTGTAATTTGATTTGAGCCATCTATCTTTTTCTCTTGGGCAGTCTAGCTCAAGGTTTGTCAATTTTGTATTTCTTTTCAAAAAACCAATTTAATTTCATTTATTTTTGTAATCTCTTTCTTGTCTCATTTTTTAAATCTTTTTTATTTCCTTCCTTCTACTATATTTGGGCTTAGTATGATCTTTTTCTAGTTCCTTGACCTGTAAAGTAAGGTTGTTTATTTGAGATGTCTCTTTCTTCTGACATAGGCATTTATTGCTATAAACATCCCTCTTAGAACTGCTTTGGTTGCATCCTGTTATTTTTGTATCCCATTAGTTTTTGTATGTGGTATTCTGTTTGTGTTTGTATCAAGATACCTTTTGATTTCTTCCTTGACCTTTGGTTGTTCACAAATGTGTTTTTCAATTTCTACAGATTTATAAATTTTCCACTTTTCTTCTTACAGATTTCGAGTTTCATACCGTTGGGATCAGAAACTATACTTGATACAATTTCAGTCTTGTAAAGTTAGGAGAGTGAGGGACAGAGAGGGGGGAAAGAATCTCAAGCAGCCTCCACACCAAGCATGAAGCCCAATGAGGGGGCTTGATCTCACAACCCTGAGATCATGACCTGAGCTGAAATCAAGAGGTGGATACTTAACCAACTGAGCTACCCAGGTGCCCATCAGTCTTGTTAAATTTTTAAGACTTGTTTTATAGTCCAACATATGATCTACCCCGAGGAACATTCTTGAATGCTTGAAGAGAGTGTGTATTCGTCTGTTACAGATGTCTGTCCAGTCCGTCTGGCTTAAAGTGTGTCCTTACTGCTTTGTATTTGGGTGATGCACCCATTGTTGAAAGTAGGGTATTGGACTCCCCTGCTATTGTTATATTGCTGTCTACTTCTCCCTTTAGCTGTGTTAATATTTTCTTTATATGTTTACAGACTTTATCATCCTTTCATGGTTAAAGCTGTCAACAAAGTAAACGTAAAAAGAGTGTGCCTCAACTTAACGAAGGCCGCATATGACCAACCCATAGCTAGTGTCATATACAATGATGAAATGTTGAAAGCTCTTTCTCTAAGATCAGGAACAAGAGCAGGGTGGCCACTCTCACTACTTCTGTGTGGCATAGTACTGGAAATTCTAGCCGGAGCAGTTAGGCAAGAAAAAGAAATAAAAGGCATCCAAATTGAAAAGGAGGAGGGAGTGGCTCAGTGGGTTAAAGCCTCTGCTCAGGTCGTGATCCCAGGGTCCTGGGATCGAGCCCCACATCGGTCTCTCTGCCCAGCAGGGAGCCTGCTTCCTCCTCTCTCTCTGCCTGCCTCTCTGCCTACTTGTGATCTCTGTCTGGCAAATAAATAAATAAAATCTTTTAAAAAGAAAAAAGAAAAGAAATGGAGGAGGTAAGATCCGTTTGATGTAATGATCTCATATATAGAAAATCTAAAGATTCTGTCAGAAAACTTTTAGGACTATTAAGTGAATTCAGTAAAGTTGAAGGATACAGGTTCAATATAAAAAAATCAATTGCATTTCTATACACTAACAGCAGACTATCTGAAAAAGTAATTAGGAAAAGAATTCTAATTATAGTGCATTAAAAAGAATGAAATATTTAGAAATAAATTTTGCCAAGGAGGTAAAAGATCTGTATAATGAAAACTATGAAACACTGATGGAAGAAATTGAAGACACAGGTAAGTGGAAAGATATTTTGTGTTCATAGATTGGAAGAGTATTGTTAAAATATTCATACTACCCAAAGTAATCCACATGCTCAGTGCAATTCCTATGAAAATTTTAATAGCATTTTTCACAGAAGTGGGATAAAGAACCCTAAAATTTGTATAGAACCACAAAATACCCCCCAAACCCAAAGCAATCTTGAGAAAGAACAGCAAAGGTAAAGGTGTCACATTTCTTGATTTCAAACTGTGTTACAAAGCTAAAGTAATCAAAATAATTTGGTACTTGCACAAAAATAGACTCATAGATAGATGGAACAGAATAGAAAGCCCAGAAATAAAACCTCAAATATATGGTCAACCAGTTTTCAACAGGGGCTCCAATAACACAATGGAGAAAGGGACGTCTCTTCAATAAATAATGTTGGGAAAACTGCATATCCACATGCATAAGAACGAAATTGGACCCTTAATTTACACAAAAATGCATTAAAGACTTGAACATAAGACCTAAAACTGTAAAATTCCCAGAAGAAAATGTAGGGAAAAACCTCCTTGATGTCAGTCTTAGAAATGATTTTTTGGATATGACTCCAAAAGCATAGGGAAGAACAGCAAAAATATACAAG